TTAATAATGAAAACACGTTAATTAATGTATAATCAATTTCTTTAAAAGACTACACATCTTTTGACATAGTTGACAATGATAAGGAACATAAAATATACCCACCCAATAAAATCATAAATTTTGGAATTCTTTTAATATTAAAACCTCATTTTTTCCCCTTAAGTGATTAATCGACTTTATATGAGGATAAATGGTCATACTTATCTAATTATACTAAAAAAAAATATAATTATATGCTTTCAATAAATCAAAAGTGTTTTACTTTCAAACTTAACTTTTCGAACATTATCAAAGAATATTATTAGATACGTCTAGTTCTAAATATAAAGAATAAAAACAAAGCATATCTAAGGAATAAAGACAAAGACAAAAGGCTACATTTCCAACACTTCAACTTTAAACCTCAATTTACTCGAGTGAATAAATTGATACCCTCCGAAATCTTGCTTGTAAATTAAAAATAAATAAAATAAAATAAAACCCACCTAAAAAAATTAGTTCAAGTATGGTTCAAAATCTAAGTTAAAAGTTTGGAAACTAAAATAAATAAATAAATAAATAGTTTTTGAAAAGTGATTATAATAATTCAAATGTTTATTTTACCAAAAAAAAAAAAAAAAAGCTAATGGTAAAAAATAATCATTAAATTATTTATTATAAATCTAAGTATAGCCGAAGAAGTTTTAACCTAAAAAAAATAATTTTTTCGTCTTTCACATCTTCCTTTAAAAGCTAAAAGTTTAAATTTCTGCCCGTATCTATTGCACTAAAAGGCACAAATCATCCTCCATCCTCACAAAATTGTTGAAGAACAAACATAAACACAGAGTAGATCAAACACGAATTATAAATCTAACATTCTTGTTACTTCTTTAGGGGAAGGTGTAATTCAAACAAAACCCAGACTTAAAAAAAATGAAGTTTGAACATAGGATAAACGATAATTAAAAAAAGAAAAAGAAAGAAAGACTGTGGTTGTGGTTCTAAGAAAGCAATACAAACAATAAAGATAAATAATCAAAATTTAGAAAAAAGGAAGAACAAACTGTAAAGTGAAGAAAATAGTTTTTACAAATAATAATATTATAAATAAAAAAAGAAGAAGAAAATCCGTTTTTTGGATTGTCCAAATAATATTTATTTTAAGAAAGAAGAGCCAATATTTCATTGCCTTTTATATTTTATTTTCACAATTTTCAAGGTTTTAACCCAAAAAAAATAAGGTCAAAATTAAATATTTCATATTCAGAAATATATAAATAATTATCAAAATAAATGGCGATATTACAACTCATTCATACATATTATTGGCTATTTCTGTTTGGTAGAAGATTGTCGTTTAATAAAATTAATTATTCCAAATTAACGATGATTTTTCACCAATTAACAGAGGAAAAAAACCAATTAATTAATTTTTTTTTTTTCAAATTAGGTTTTCTTTTTCATCAATTTCTTCTTCCCTAAATCAATCTTGTTTCAACCATAATAATGTTCAGAATTGATGTGAGTTTTTGTTCGTACCATTGACATTGATGAATAAATCCACCATTTCTTGTCTGTGTGTTGTTATTGATTGACTCTGCTTATCCGCTCCTTCCGACGTATTCTTTACGTGTTGTCCTTCGTCAGCGGCAGTCGGAGTGACATTAGCAGCCGTCGCGGCGGAGGCGGCGGCGGTGGAGGCGGCGACTCTGCTAGGTTTTACTTTGCCGACGATTTCTTTGTCCAGGCCTTTGAGACCTCAGCGATTTTCTCCACTCTCTTGCTTGCGGATAAAAACAGGAAGTTGTCCTTTCCGTCACTGTTGTTTCTGTATAGAAGATCTCGGAGTTTCCATCTCTTCGATGATCCCGCCGAATTGCTCTTTTTGCATCTCTCGAGCGATTCCTTTGGCGACCAAACGCAGTACTTTCCAGGAAGAACTCCGTCAAGCTCGTCGGCCTCAGACAACGAGAAAGAATTCGTTTCGCTCTCTTTGCTCATCAGTTTTCCAAGCGACGGACGATGAACTCTCTTCGGCTTCGCTGTCTTCAAATTTCCGTCGTTGTCCTCGCCATCAGCGTTGCTGTTCTTACCAGCAATCGATCCGCTCATTAACAGATTCGTGTTGGAGATCGGATAAATCGGTCTAATCTGACCGTTGTAGAAGATATCCTCGGCTGAGATTGTTACCGCTTGCGGCTCCCTAGGAAATACCGCGAACTCGAACTCGAAATCGTCGTCTCTGTTCCCACCGGCAACAGTCTCTGTTTCTTCGTTATCATCGTGTTGAGATTCTTGGTTGAAAGTTTCCGGTTCGTCTCCATTCTGAAGAGAAGAGACGGCCTCAGGTTTCCAGTCGAAAATATAGGAATCAGAATCGGATTCTTTACGGAGTTCCTCCACGACACGGACGGCAATTTCTGCAAATCTGCCGGAGGAGTAGCTGCTGAAACTAGGAGAGAGGGCAAGAAGAAGCGAACCGTCACCGCCTTGCATCATTACCGTCCCTTAGATTCTTCAAATTTGCCCTAATTGCCTGGAACTGCAACTTCCATTTTCTTTCACACACATGTGAAGAAGAAGAAGAAGAAGAAGAAGAAGAGGCAAAGAAGTGAAATGACCAAAATGTAACGCTTAAACCTGTTGAGAATTGCATAATGGGCGGTCCCTTTTGGTAATTATATTTTCCTGATAATTTTTTTCCCACTTTTTTCTTCTGACAATTACGCGCCACTGAAACGGAGCGTTTCACATTTCCACTATAAAAATAAATAAAAATAAATAAATAACCAAAAAATTATTTACAATAATAAAAAAATAATAATAATAAAGAAAAAGTGAAAATTGAACTTTAGGTAATTCAATAAAATTTAAATAAGTATCGAATAAATCTACCGATCATTATACTCAAAATTAAATTTGTTTTAGAGAGACCATCTCGACTCCTCCCTTTCTCGAGATTAGTATATAGACAACTCTCGCTATTAGTGTATAGACAATTATTTTTCGAGCACCGCTTTAGGTTCAGCTTTCATATATAGTAACTCTCTTCGTGAATTGTTGTTGTATGTTGCAGGTTCGAAATGTTTTTTCTAGAGACGGAGTCGTATGAGGAAATAGTGTCACTATTATTCGTTTGAGAAAGATATGATATCACCAACTATCGGGTCCGACTCCTGGTCCTGGTTTTTTTGTACTTATCTGTTCTATTTTTTTTTTCGTAAAATTAAAAAAAAATTGAGAATTTAATAAAATTTAAATATTAATAAGGAAAATAGAAATAAAAATAAAAAGTTAACAACTTTATGGATTATTATTCTTGGTATTTAAAATAAATAATGGGGCCTTTTTAAAATTCTTTACCTCCGAGACACGTAACGCGAGATATTATGACACGTGGAGGATGGTTATAGGACGTACATGTTGAGTAGATATTTTGTACGGTTTTTATATTTAAACTGTGTAGTAATTGGGGAACTATTGTGTATAGCTTAAAGGTTGGGTTGGTTGACTTTGAAAGACCAACCATGGCCACCGCGGACTAAGGTTGAGACCCGTTAGATCGAGGGTCGGGTAGGAAATGTCTGTTTAAATAGGAAATGAGGGAGGAAGTGGTTGTTGGATGAAAGTTACATCGGCTAATTTAAGGAATGATCATAGATTTATAATCAAAGAATATTATCTCCATTGGTATGAAGTCTTTTGAAGAATCCTAAAACAAAGCCCAAGCTAATTTAACGTATGCTCAAAGTGGACAGTATCATACCATTGCGGAGAGTCGTGGTCCTAACATGGTATCGGAGTATCATTCTTAACATGGTATCAAAGTCGTGCCTAGAACTTAGCTCGATTTGTACTAATTACTTGTGGGGAATTATCGTCTCAATCCCAACAACAATAAATAGAAAATTTTACGGGGATGAAAATTAAAATAAGTGGTAGGTACGGAGACAGGAAAGGCTTCCCTACCTCTACCCTTCCCGTGAACATCTCTACATCGAAGTATGTTCAAAACTTTCACTTATTACTCTCTACGTCTATTATCAACTCGATTATGAACTTGAACGTAACATGATTCATCTTTTTTATAATTCCATATTTGCCCTTTTGGTCTATACTCATAAAGTACTTCAATATAAGAGGAGCCCGTTGGGTCGTTGAAATTGGCCAACAGGAGAGCTCCGTGTGCCGCCAGAAAGAAAGGCAATTAAGTTAAAAGTAAAATGGAAGGTGAGCTAATATATCACCGACCTCCACACACTGAATGACACGTGTGGATCTTTAAGCATCAAAACGAATGTAAACTTTACGCGTACATGTAACCGTATCACGTCCCTTTGCCTTTTGCCTCGTCAGCTCTATTAATGTTACGACGTCGTTTAGAAAAATGACTGACAATTTACTCTCTCCTCAATATTCATAATATTCTCCACAGTATACAAAAGTAAAAGGAAAAAAAAGAAGAAGTAATTTCTTTATTTCTTCTTCTTTGTAATAATTTGATCAAGAAAATTAACATTTCCATTCTATTAAAAGTTTCAATTCGGTTATATTCTTTTTTGGACTTTCCCTTTCGGACTTCCTCTACCAAATTCACCCCCTTCGGTACCCAGCGTTCTTATTGGCACACCATCTCGTGTCTACCCCCCTCAGGGAACAGCCTCCTCGCTGGCACATAGTTTAGTATTTCGCTCTGATACTATTTGTAATTGCTTAGGCCTATTGCTAGCAAATATCCTCTTTGGGCTTTCCCTTTCGGGCTTCCCTTCGAGGCTTTAAAACGCGTCTGGTAGGGAAAGGTTTCCACACCCTTGTAAAAGGTATTTCATTTTCCTCCCCAACCAATGTGGGATATCACAACTCCCTTTCGAGGGTTCGAGCCATCAGCGAGATACCCCTCTAAAAGAGCTAGAATTCTAACTTTGTGCCAGGACCTACGAGCCAAAGGACAAGCTTACAGTTTCTAGAGGCATGCAAGAACCTTTCGAACCTTTCATTTCTAAACATAAGAGCTAGAATTCTAACTCGGTGTTGATCATAAAGTTCAAAGGGTTTATATACACAAATACAGATCGATTGAACTAAAAGAAACTGACTCATTTACAAAGGTACATGTTCGAGTTTGATTCAAACTAAAACTCGTTCGTCGATTTGCCTTCTTGGCACTCCCATTTTATGGTAAACAGAACAGAAACTGCAAGCTTCCAATCCAACTACTCCAAGAAAATTGGTGAATCTACACTCCCTGCTGCTGTTCTCTGTCCATTTCTTGATCCAGTACTTTGCTACACAAACAAAAATGGCCAAAGCCATCAGCTTAATTCATGGAATCTAACAAATAACTTCACTTCTCCATATGGGTTGCATTTATTTGAAAATTCATTCACAAAAAGGATATAACTAACTCAAGTCCACTGCTAGCTAGATAGTCCGCTTTGGCCCGTTATATATCGTCGTCAGCCTCACGATTTTAAAACGTATTTGCTAGGGAGAGTGTGGCATAAGGAATGTTTGGGCCGGTACAAAGAGATTTTCACACCCTTATAAGGAATGCTTCGTTCTCATCTCCAACTGATGTGGGATCTCACAATCCACCTTTCTTGGGGCCCCAACATCCTCGATGACACATCGCCTAGTTGTTTGGCTTTGATACTATTTGTAATAGCTCAAGTCCACAAGGGCTTAACATCCTCGTTGGCACACCACCTGACGTCTGACTTTAATACCATTTGTAACAGTTCAAGCCCACAAGGGCCGAACATCCTCGCTGGCACACCATCTGGCTTTGATACCATTTGTAACAGCCCAAGCACACCGCTAAACAAATATTGTCCACTTTAGCCCGTTACGTATCCCACTAAACCTCACGATTTTAAAACGCTTATCTTAGGGAGAGGTTTCCACACCCTTATAAGAAATATTTTGTTCCCCTCCACTGACATAGGGTCTCAAATACAACTTTAAGGGCCAAAAGGCTAGGAATTTTTAATACAGATGCCAGAAGTGATTGATGAAGACTTCCCACAAGCAAAAGCAAAGATTCGACATAGCTTACCAAGCATAGAAAATTTATAGGCCAGCCTTCTACTGTTATGATATGAAAGGGAACAAAGTGTTTGGATTATAATACAAACAAGTTCTCTCCAACTCTAAGCTAACAATCATATTCCATCGGCATATAAACAGATTCCAAAGCAAAAGAACAAGGAAAGTAAGAATCGAATACCTGTGTTCTTGATGATTTGATTACATGTATCAACAGATCATCGCCCGCAATCTGCCTTACTCGCTTGATCAGCTCGTGCCTCGAAATCTTATGATCCTAGAATTCAGAAGCTGAACATAATAAGATCAACCATACCCGTAAAAAGTTACATTCAAATGGATCAAATCAAAGTTTACATACCCTGTGGTCTTTGTGATACTTAGTAATCATGTCAATTTGAGGGGCAGGTAGACACTTGGATAGAACAGATATCAGAGCTGGAAATGGCATCCAAGGGGAGGTTGGCATTCTCAAAGGCTGTTTGGCTTTCAAAGCACCTAAGAGTAATTGAAGACGCCATTAAAATTGGAATCAAACCATGAATTCTGGAAAGCAAGTTCCAAGGAATTTACTAACCTTTCCAACGAGGAGGAGTCCTGAAACTAATTAGATACTCAGGCAAGATGTGAGTGTTCATGCTTGTGCTCCAAATTATGTATGTTTTTGGTGCAAAGAGATTATCAACACCAGAATCAAACGCTTCAGAACATGGATGATTCTGTCTAGAACCAGGATGAACAAGCTCAGATTTCCCCAATATCACACGGCAAAGCAATAGATGTCTTAATCCATCTTCATCAACAACAGTATCTTCCAGACTAAAAAATTGAAACAAACAATCAAATGGGGTTCTAAATTAACAAGAAGAACATGAACTCAAAAGGGTTAATCATGAAGAACATGATCGTGGATATTACGTTTAAGACTAACCTTTTAAGTGGATGATCATCAGGGGAGAGATAAATGCCATTACCAAGAGATTGAGAACTCTCAAGCTTGTTGCAATGGGAAAACCCATAGCCCAGAATGCTGTTGATTTGATCCTTCGAAGCCCCCAACCAAGCGTACTTGACATTAGCATTCCCCCCATTTTTCTTCGCTATTGCTTGCAAGTAAATCTGAAACGTGTGCAGCCGGGCTTGCCCAATATGGGTCGAATGGCTGTTCTTGTAAACGGCAGAGACCGTAGTTTCCTGGCTGAGCAATCCGATACTGGTTAAGAATTTTCTCTTGATTAGGTCGTAAATCTTTTCTTCAGCAAGTTTCACTAAACCCTCGTTGATCCATTCCACATGCTCCATACTCGGCCCTGAAATTCCGCTTTCAGAGTCCGAAACCACCGAGTCCTGATCGGGATCAGTCGAATCTCCGGCGTCGGAGAATCGGTCAGAAACATCATGGTCGGAAGCTCCATTCGCAAGACAGTGATCATTTCCGAATTGCTGAATCCGTTCCCGACATTTATCCTGATTACTCCTCATCGATTGAAATACACGATTAACAACGAAAACAGAGTACAAAAACAGAGATATCCTAAACTGGGCTATATAGAACCCAAAAACAACCAGAAACTCATCAATGGCGATTCTAATCGCAAAATTAGTGAAAAAGAACCAAATCTACACAGAACCCAACTCAAGAACACGAGAAACAGAGGAAAGAAAATCACAGAAGAAGAAGAAGAAGAAGAAGACACGAACAAATAAATGGAACCCAGTAATCATATGCCGCCAAACGCAAGTCGGTTAACTCCAAAAACTTAAGACCCAAGAAACAAAACAGGTATGAACATAAACGGAAAGTTGAATTTGAATACAAACAGAGAGAGTAGGAATTGGAATGAGTTACTTGGAGAAGACTAAGAACAAGATCAAAATTGGCAGTTATAAGGTCGAAAAAGAATTGGGCGGTTTGTGGGATTATGATGGGCGGTGCCGCGCTATTAGTTTTTGCGGAAATCCATTTGATTTTTTTCGTTCAAAGCCTGCGTCCGTGGAGCAGTAACTCCGTAATCGAGGAGGCCCCTGTTTTATTTATAATTCTTGTATTGCGAAATTACCTTTATACCCTCGTATGGGCAAGACTTTATGTTCAAGTTGGTTACTATATCAATTTAATTTAATAAAATTTCATGTATATCTATAAATACGTTCATACCTCAATGGGTTGAGATAGATACTCAATATCAAGACCGAGTAGAAAATATTAGGAGTATTCATATGATTTGAGAACCCGACCAATTTAGATTATCCATTTCAAATCTTTAAAAAAAATTAAGTCAGATCAACCCGACTAATTCGACCAACTCGAAAATAAGGCTACAACCAAACTCAACCTTATCGTACTTTAATAAAAATTGAAAATATTTGGTGTTTATAACCGATGTTAGTGATGCGTTGTGACTTGTGAATATCTGATATTTGAGTCTTATGAGATTTTAGAAATTGTTGTAACAGGTATGGTCGATAAATATAATTTTTTTAGATAATTCAAAAAACAACCCAAAAATCTGACCCAACCCGAGAATAGAGGGTTGAGTTGTAAACTCTACTGAGATTGCTTAAGTCACTGACCCAACCAACCTAAAATTTTTCGTTGATCCAAAAGATTTCTCGAATCCAACTTAACTAGTGTACACGCTTAGAAAATATTAAAATACCGTAAAATCTTTCTTAATAGATGTATTTTAAAATTATGAGGTTGAAGAAGATACATAATAGACCAAAATAGATAATATATACTAGTTCAATGGTATCAGAGTTAGATACTGGGTGGTGTACCAGTAAGTACGAGAGTAGATTGGGATTGAGGGTCGGAGACTATACCTTTTAAAACCGTTGCATCATTTTCCAATTTAATTTTATAATAATAAAATCATTTTGAATTAAATATCATCATATTAATATTCCTACTTAATTTTACTTCTAACTTTCCAATTACCGTATCATTTTTTAAATATTAGACAAATAATAATTTATTATATATTTTAAGCTTGAATTATTTGCAATTATTATTTTATGGATAAGATGCCATAAGTGGAAGGTTCAAGTGGGGCCCACTGGGTCAACTGGTTCGCTGTGCCTTGGAAAAGAAGAAAATATCATATAATATATATATGTAATCTAATAATATTAATAAGTAACACCTCCAACTTAGTATAAAGTTTTTCATGTTGTATTAAATTAATAAATACATTATGGTAACTTAGCTGACTAGATAAATAATGTATTAAAAATATACCGTAATTTTTTAAAGTAAATATTCTACCGATTATTCCACAAATTTTTAAAAATTAATTTAAATATATAGGGAAAGGTTTTAATTTTAATATAATTATTATTATTTTTTTTTTTTATATATATATAATTTCTGTTATTTATTTTTTGGAAAAAAATTGGTGAATTATTGTTTTTAATTTTTTTATATGGGCTGCAATTTCATAGCCCAATAAGCTTGAAAAGCCTTTTTACATTAACCAACCAAAAAAGCCCATAGCCCACTTCATCTCAATTGGGCCACTAGTAGAACTCAACTTCCCCCATCGCTCTAACCCTAACGTTTCTTAAGGAGAGGTTTCCACGCACTTATAAGAAATGCTTTGTTCGCCTCTCGAGCAGATGTGAGACCTTGAGCATCCTTGTTGACACACCGTCTGGTGTCTGACTCTGATATGCTTTGTTCGCCTCTCGAGCAGATGTGAGACCTTGAGCATCCTTGTTGGCACACCGCCTGGTGTCGGACTCTGATATCATTTATAACAACCCAAATCCACTGCTAGCAGATATTATTCGTTTTGGCCCCGTTACATATCGTTGTCAATTTCAATGTTTTAAAGTACGTCTATAAAAGAGAAGTTTCTACACCCTTATAAGAAATGATTTGTTCCCCTCTCAAACCGATGTGGGATCTTGAGCATCCTCGCTGGCACACTGCCCGGTGTCTGACTCTGATATCATTTGTAACAACCCAAGTCTACTGCTACCAAATATTATTCGTTTTGGCCCGTTACATATTGCTGTCAACCTCAATATTTAAAGCATGTCTATAAGAGAGAGGTTTCTAACCTTAAAAATATACTCGAGAGTAACATATGGTCAATTAAAAAGTTGTAACAATCTACTCATAAATACTATAATGGACACTAACTAAATTTATAACTTGTTCGAGAGTAATTGAATTCTCCACTTGAAGTAGTTTTAAGCGGCTTGAAGTACTAGTTTTATAAACAAAGCTTGACTTATCTGTAATCAAACACGCTCCAATTGAGGTCATTTAATGCAATCCTATTTTGTTAACTTGAGCCTCGATATACATAAGACCGCGTTCTACTGGCTCTTATGTCTCTTCCACTCTCTTATGGAGAGCTGACAAGTACTTTAGTGCCCCACGCGGAGTTGTCCAACATTCTTAGCTAATAGTATTTCTGTTTCTACCGTCTCATATTCAGCTTATGAATTCACCTTGAAACAACATGTAACGTACAATCCCGTCATCTATCTTGAAGCCCTTGTGGCATGATCAAGGCATTTTATACTTCCTTCTGCGTCGCTGCCTTAGCTCACTTGTGTCGCGCATGCCTTCTACATGGCTCCATTTTGCCTATCATTGTTCTATGTTTTATACCATTTTTTGACTTCATGCACTACGTTGTTTATCACCTAACAATCTCGTGTTTGATTTTCAAAACCATCTCCGACATATTTTTGTCTTGGTTGATATGTCGTTCAAATTACGGTCACGAGGGTTCTTGTTGTTTTTCTTGTCTCGTGGTTGGTTTAATACGGTAATGGATATCTATTATGATATCCCACATTGGTTGGGGGAGGAGAACGAAACACCCTTTATAAGGGTGTGGAAATCTTTCCCTAGCATACCCGTTTTTAAGCCTTGAGGGAAGCCCATAAAGGAAAGTCCAAAAAGAACAATATCTCCTAGCGATAGGCTTGGAGTGTTACAAATGTTATCAGAGCCAGACATCGAGCGATGTGCCAGTGAGAAAGTTGTTCCCTAAAGGGGGTAGACACGACGTGGTTTTCCATTAAGGATGCTGGCCCCGAAAGGGGGTGGATTTGGTGGGAGTCTCACATCGATTGGAAAAAATAACGAGTGTCAATGAGAACGCTGGACCCTGAAGGGGAGTGGATTGTGACATTAGATGGGGAGGAGAACGAAAAGTTGATCTTCTGTACAACAACGTATTTTGAATTCTCGTGATTGTGTACAACAAAAAATCATTAAAACGAGAATAAAAATATTAGCGACAAAAAGCGTTTGATGAAAATTTAATATGTAATAATATTTGAGGGAGAAAAATAAAGTGACGTTGACTGCAGCCATAACGAGGCTGCAAAGTTTGACCACCATAAAAAATCAGGACCACACTTTTAAATCTCATTTTGATGATCAAATCTACACCGTTCATCTACATCCTTCAATCCCTTTATTATTCAAATTATATAAATTCTCATTTACACAATTTCAATATAATGTTTTTTAGATGATAAAATTTAATCATTTAATTAAGAATATCATTGTCGACCAAAAGTGAAGCATTTAAGGGTAGCGCCGCCGCAAGCACCGCCGCTGACGGCGAGGGAGTGGATTTTTTATTTTTATTTTTGAAAAAAAAGGACCAGAAAATACAAAATTTTGCAAATCCATTTTTTTAATAGAAAAATTAAACTTTTGAATTCGTGGATTATTTATTGGCCTTTACGAATCTTTTTTTTTTTTTTTTTTTTTTTTT